ATTCCCAACAGTTGAGTTCGAAAACAACACTATTGTGGTCACTTTGCCCAACTGGAGGGGAAATATTCAAATTACGCACAAGACTTTTATTGGTACTGAAAACCAAGTCAAGAATATTGCTCCCTCTGGTAGGATTAAGAACGTGTTGCGTCAAATTATGGGTACATACAAATTGTTGTAAAGACGATAAAGTAGTCCCATTTGCTTCATACCTCTGCCTTCCACCCTGACCAAAACCCGGGACGTTGAAATCTCCAACTATTAAAGAGTGATGTTCACACGCAATCAAATCACTGAGGGCTTTCACAAGCTGTTCAGTATGAGCCATAACACAAGACGGGGCCCTGTATACAACAATAACCCGAAGACAAGATAATTCATGAAAAATATCGGCACATAGTATTTCGTAGGCATCGTTCACCGTTTCCTTAAAAACTAGTGATACGGCAAGGCTGGCATGGACCAATAAGACGACTCCTCCTCCTGCCTTTTTAGCACGGTCACACCTTAGAGTGTCACAATCGTTACCAAAAGAGCTCAAAATACACGCTATGTCATGGTTGGGTTTGAGCCACGTTTCCGTAAACGCAAAAATGTCGAATTTGTTAGTCAAAACTGTATCGATGTAGCCTGAGTTTTTCGAGATCGACCTGACATTTGAGTAAAAAAACTTAAGGAATCTTCTACGAAACCGCGGAAAGCCCGTCAGTTTTCCTGGTTAACAACATTGGAAGTATTAGGAGGTGGAGCCCCAGTCCCCCTCCCAGCAGGAGCTACCCCTGCAGAGGGTGTCTGCGGCACCCCCTCATTAACACTCCGCCGGAGGTTGAAACATGCGTGACGGGAAAACTACCTTTACTAACCTACACTTATCTTTAGAAGGCCTTCCCATTCTGTACACAGTTACCGGATTACATTCAACACCAAGAAACTCAATTATATTATCAATTATTTTCAAAAGTCTGATTTCCACCACGAAGTGTAGCACTACGCTAAACGGTCGGTTAGCACATTAGTAGTGAATTTCGTAGTGCAAGTAGTTCAGTTTCGTGTCCGTCGAAACGAAAGCGACGAGTCCGTCGGAACGTTGGCCATAATAAAGATTCTCACCTATCATCCTTGAGGCAAAAGCAAAATTAACATTTTAAGACAGAAATGCCGAGGTTTCAAGACGAGAGAACTTGGAATTTAATGGAAGATTATAATTATTTAATCTCAAACCCTGATGCTTAGTGGTCGTGGTTCAATCGCAAGCAATAGCCTTTACTAAGTTTTACCATCCCTTATCACTACGCTTGCCACTCACTTTTCGTCGGACTGTTTCACTATCCCTTCTTATTGCATGAAACATACCTAAGTGTCAAAGCCTCGTCGTAAATATGAAAAAGGTCAGAACCTAGGTTGCTTCCGATCTCCCTTATCAACTTTTATCAGCTAAAACAAAGAGGTTCTCACATCTCAGCGCTTATTATTGCTCCTTACCTCTTGATATCATTCCTTGTCTGCGGGCATTCATATTCAATTCAGGTTCGCTAGACACCCAATATCACCTAGCAAAGTGCGAACTTTGTAATACGAAAGGCGTAACAAACCCGAATGCTTCCCTAATCTCTTACTAGCCCTTAACAGTTTTTATCACTTCCTATCATCACCCATATAACACCCCTGTACACCTCACATACCCACAAAGTGTGAACGTCCCACCATCAATATGAAGAGCGTGGGCGACAAAGCGGCTCGTGTCATCCATGGCCTCTTATCAGCCTCTATCAGTTGTTATCAAATCCCATAATGCGCATAGTCTACGATGTCGTAACACTGCACATTACCTACCAAATTATAAGGGCTCCACCTGACAGAGTAAAAGGTGAAAATTTTGTTGATGTAGCTCTCTCCTACTGGATCTCCTTTTACCTGTTATATCTCTTTGAAACACCCTATTTGTAGCCCTTATGTAATGTAAGGTTCAGAGAAACGGGAAATATGAAACTTGGTCGAACATACACAAAAGCAAACAAGGATAAGGACATGAATAAATACGCAGGTAGACGAACCCAAACAATCACACAAACAAATAAACACATCAACATGGCAACGGACACATTCAGCGAGTCATATTATAGTAGGAATTTAGAGGGCAGATGAATAAGTTTCGAATATCCACGAACCTCAATTTCTAACAGCTATAATCCCCACTGGGTTGATTTCTGGGTAGGAGATTTTTCACATTTTCCTCGATGTCCTTACTCAATCATTTCTGACTCATTTTTTTTTATATTAACGCGACCGCCTAGTCGGTCTTGCCCATACCCAATTCGACTACTGCAAGCATCTTTTCCGAAGTCATAACACCAAGAAGTGGTTCAGACGGAACCTATAAACTTCCGATCATTTTTCACTGCCATTCGTACAGGTCATACATATTCGATGGTAAGTAACAAGGTAATTCTTTGAAGGGAAGATTCCTACATGCAATACTCCATTGTCCTGCCCGGTCCAACCCTTGTGTAATGTGAACTCTCGATCTGCCCACTTTATGAGAAAGTCTCTTCCGAACTCAGAATTGCGAACCTGAATATATACAGACAGTATAAACTATATAAATAATCTCATAGAAGTGCTTACCATATAACTTCCAGCAGCAATTTCACTAGTAAAAAGCCTTTCATAGAGAATGACGTCCACACGGTCATCTATCCATTCTTCTATGCAATGATTGGGATTGACTACGCCTAAACATCGTACGAGCTTGTTTATATGCCCTTCACTACGGAAAGTGAGTTGAGGTTTGTGACCATTTACCTAAAAAACCCAACTGATTTTGCCCAAACCCGGTTTCAATCCCCTTTGCCTCGCTATCTCCAAATTTTCTGTAGGTATATGCCAGCCTGTAGGCTGCTCTCAAATCTCCGAAACGCCATGTCTGGGATTTAGTCTTCGAATGAAGTAAGACCATCTAACTATAAGAAAAAGCTGACGAGGGGGACTTGCCAGATATTCCTCCCAAACTTCCTGTTAATCTACGCAAGCGGAACTCAATCTTGCGGATGTTGAAGAATTATGAGGGTCCTGACACCATAACGCTGCCCACTTCTGGCATTTTTGTTGTGCCCTTCAGATTTGCACCTCACATGTTCCTTGACGTTCTTCACATCGTACCTGTATCGGCATCCAGAACAAGCATCCAATCTGTATCCTTCAAATATTCAGCCGCTATGCAGTGCCTCTTGAAGAGATACTAAATGGAAGCTCTTGGTTCGGTTCAATGTGATCGCTTTACAGCAATCTACTCGTCACTTTCATTGCAACTTAGATATTACTGACACATGAGTTCAAGTGTTATCCCAAGCGGGCGTAACTTCTGGAGTACACTTTTTATTTATTTATTTATTCATTTATTGAAAAACAAATCTTTGACGAAAGAGACACTCTTGAGAAAATGATCATCAAGTCGATAGTTTTGTATCAGACTAGAAGAACCCATTCTCATATACACAGTCTTTTCAGGAGCTAGTGGCAACCTCCATTGTTAAGGCCACCACAACGTGTAAAGCATATTGGATCACTCTTATATCATCTTTACCTTCACTCATCCTCAAGATTTTAATGTCACTATTTATTTAATGTTATGATTTTACACTTGTAAGAGTAAATAGTACCTCCTTGTATTTCCGACACTTCTCTCTTGTTCGCTCATCATTTCGTAAATTGACCGTAACGAGCTGATAATCTACACCTTGCAGATAGCATTTAATCGAACTTTGCGCCACACGATACTTCCTGAATGAAGCTGCGTTGCCATTCGAGGTTCAACGGCGACGAGACGATCGTTTCTTTCGAAGTTGCATGATTAAAAGAACTAAGCTTTAAGAGCAACAACATCAACAACAGCAATGGTCCCTTCATTCTGAACTTTCCCCCTCTCCCTTGCTCCTTATCCCTCTTTTCTCGAGTATTTGCAAGAAAAGAAAACGCGTATTCGCAATCAAAGAAATACTAACTCCGCTGGTAGCCTCACGTCCTTATAAGGGGAAGGATCCCCAGGGAAAGAGGGTGCTTGAAATGAGACTGTATGTATACAGGTGACTTCGGGTCCTGATCTCATATATGCTTTCCAAATTACCGAACATTCTTTGATCATATGTTTCAAAGGTGATTTGAGGTGAGACGTAACATAAGCGAACACAAGCGATATAGATCTAACGGGTTTCTCAGTTGTAGCTTGGAGCAAGATAGGTATGACGCTTAATGTGTAGTGACCTTGTTCTGGTTTAGCTGTTTTTGTCCCCTTTGCACTAACAACATCTTTCGTTGAGTTCTTGGAGTTCTTTATTTCGATTCTATTGCGTCCCACGACCTTATGATGCTCGAAGTGATTTCTTAATACTCCACCATGGCAATTCGCTTCAGGTTTTTTGTACATCTAAACACTATATTTCCTGTTGTACAACTTTCATCAACGTTGGTGTTGGAGAGTCCGGAGCCGCTGCGCCCGACCGCACCCACTTTATCATCGACTGCTTGCTTGAAGCATTCGTTTTACGTTCTTGGACCACCATACTTCGTCGCAGAACAATCCTACATTCGGAAAGTTAGTTCACGATAATTTTGAGGTACCCGTTTCTATTCGAAAAGCGGAAGTATGGATTGGGAATAGTTCATCGGCAAAGAAGAAAACGAGAGAATTCGCCGATTGAGAAAATATGGCTAAACGAAATAAGGGAAAATAGAGACTGGACGAGATTACCATGACGGAGGTATTTGCACGCATGTGGCATTCGGACAAGATTTCAGTTATTGCAGTTGCACAAAGACTACATCGAGCCAGATTTGTACAGAACTGTCTTTACTGTCGCTATGGGTCATGACAAGTTGTTTGGACTTCCTACACGGGTTCAGTTGTCATCGGTGCAGCCTTTACAATGCAGGTGAAACTCGCCCGAGCATACACACGGGCCAATCTTCAAGCCTTTATAACTCCTTAACTAGGCCGTGTTCCGACCTAATTGTGCCAGATATGGTATACGTGAGGGCTTTAAATTCATCCTGTGGGGAAATCTCAGGAACCATTTTTATAGTGAACTGTGTCTTTAAGCTAGATTCAATAATGAAAAACTTCTAACGAGATGGCCGTCAACGAGGAAGGAAATCGTGACAAGGAATGAGTGGTTGAGTGGCTGGGGGCAGAACTTGACAGCATACCCTCACTACTCTTCTTGAGCGCTTTGACTGGTCACCGAGTGTGCATTTTCTTTGGAAGATAGGTTTGATCAGAGTTGCACATTGCGCTCAATAGACATCTTTCCAATTTTAGAAACGGACAGTGTTGAAGCAACAGTATTGATGAAAAGTCTAGAGAAATGCGCTGATGATATAACTCGTAACTTTTCTCAATTCGTTCACAAAATTCTCGGCATCCGTATAAGAACCAAGCCTACCTAGGAGACTCTTTCTGAAGGCGGTGATACGCCTCGAGACCAATTCGCATCTCCTAATGAAACGTTGGATCCACCGATGCCCAGCTTTGAAACCTGCCCTTGACGGTCTCTGTTCGCTGATTCTCAAAGCCATTAGACACAGTTTATCTCAGTCCTGCAACGACTTCCCCAAGTTAAATTTTTAGGTTATTTTTTTCTTTCAAATTCGAATCCATGGACGCTCTGTATATGCAGAAGAAATCATGGTTTGGACAGCGGTCACCTACGAAGCGAAGTCCCTGCTGGTTTTCATCGACAACGATATTAAATCGAGACGAAGTCTATTTGAAGAGCGTGCTAGAAACGTTACTTCCATGGACAAAATATCACTTTCGCTGTAGACCATTCCTGTTCCAGCAAGATTCAGCGCCGGCTCATAGAGCGAGGTTGGTGCCGAAACACCCTCCCAGAATTTACCAACGCTCAGGAATGGTCCTCTAATAGCCTTAATCTGGATCCAATGGATTATTCTGTATAGCCGCTATTGGAGAGCAAGACCTGCTCTAAGCAACACCACTCAATTGATTCATTGAAGAGGGACCTGCTCAGAGCATGGGAAGAAATAGCTTTGGAGTACCTTCGCGCCACAGTGGACTCCTTCCCCTTACGTCTGAGGGCCGTAACCGAGCCTGTGGAGAGAGTTTCGAGATTTGAATTGAGTATGTGTAATGGCTCAATATAAATAAAGTGTTGTAGAGAAGTTAGTCCTCAATCTATCGTTCAACCGATTTTACAGCGGTGGATATTTGAGTTTGAGCAAGTAATTTTGGCGCACCCTGTAAATATCTCAGAATCGAGGTCGTTGGTTAGGGCATCTCGCAACAAAGCGGAGAAGTTTTCCAACTACTGTTCTTTCCCAATTGGGACCTATTCAGCATCACAAGAGCCAAAGTGCGTGAGCAAGTGCAAGCACTACCAACTCTGAACGCAACATACTGCTTGTATGATTATATTTCATTTACCCATCTATAGCACACTTTTGCCACGTTATCCACACAGCAATTCCAATCGTATGCCGCAATCTTTTGTAGAAATTGTTTGATAGCATTAAAGGGTTAGTAAGAAAGAAACCATCTCAAGATCGTAGAACGCGACAGAACTGACGTAAAAAATATGTCGAATTCAAGGGAAAAGATTTGTGAAATTCGAGTCGTCACAACCTGTTGAAAGAATCAAAGGAGACTCGAACAAGCTTCTCTAAATTTATGGCATCTCTAGATTTATGTACGTTGAAGTGCGTAAGCTCGTAAGAATGAAGAGGATCAGACTGAAAGGACAGTAGCTCTCCACATAAATTATAAAAATTCTGGGGTGTATTCTGTTGAATCAACTGAACTTCGTTCTGAGAGGTGATTTTCAAGAGAAATAGCAAACACATTGATTCTATAGAGACGTACTGTGTGGATCAAATACAATTAATTGGTGCGACCTAAAATGGAAATCAAATTCGCTATCCCCACGAAAACCGGGAACCGTCTTCCCGTACTCTTAAACTCACATTATCCTCTCAGAACCGCACATGGGATTTATTTAACCTGGGATTTTCTATGCAGTAATTTTAACCATGAGTTTGATCTCTTTTTCAGATTATCTATGCCAACTCCAAATTTTGTTTATGCAAACTTCGATTAATTGCTCAGTCATTATGAAAATCGATAAGATACTCTAAAGCAAACTAGAATCAACGTTATCGACTTGGAAGACTCACTTTCCGT